TTACATGTGTCCTATGAAATATGTGCTAAATAAGAAGTTATAAATATAGATAGGGTGAAAAAGGATTAAAAATATATATGCTTTAATTTAGTATAATATTTTTTATAATATAATATTACATCATTAGACTACAAATTCGTTCCAATATCAATTTGATATAAATAATTGTCATGCTGTGACCAAAACTATAAGATTCATTTTCCTCCAACGATGTTCTCTTTACCGAGTTCAAGGGCAATCCCAATTCCGACAAAGATCTCTGAGTCTGAATCTTGCAACCCACAGTTTTCTAGACAAATAAAGCCATTGCCTAAGATTCATTCACGTTTCCAAGTAATTTAACTAAAACGAATTTCGCTATATACCGATGCCCATATGTGTGTATATATTTATTACAGATTAACTCGAGAATTAAATGGCGTGTGGCTTTTATGGTCGCTGGTCCCACGCAAAGTCACGAAAATTGGCCGGAGATTTCTCATTGTCGGAGATTTCTCATTTCGCACAGCGACCACGTACAAATTCTCAAGTTCAACAGTGGAAAATTGAAATGCTTTGTCTAACCGATTTTCAAAATCAGTGGAAAAAGAGCGTGGGAAGCGTCCAGGTAGAAGTTTTAAACAAAATAGTATGCTCATGTTTTTTATATAAAATATTTGTATTAATAATTTTATTATGACTTTTATTGAAAAGACAAAAATTAAAATAATAATATTTAAATAAATACAGCCAAGACTAAGAAGAATTTTTGTTTTGTGGTGTAATAGTTTTTTTTTATCGCTAAAAAAAAGTGTAAAAGGTCGACAAAAGAGTGAAAATATATTTAAGCTGTTGTAAGCTATTGTTGTTGGTTTTTTTTCATGCCAAGTGGGTCATCAAAAGAAGAAGGTGTGGGAGGAAAAGAGGTGAAAAAAATGGGCATTGGCACGTTCCAAGAAATTGCAGTGCAAACAACTGCAGACGCCAACTTTAGCTCTTAATTTATTATACCGCTTTAGCTTTTGTTTACTCACGCATGTAAAAATATATTTATATAATGTTGTAATCGTTGCAGTTCCCTGAAAAGCCAACACAAGTGCAATAAAGCGAATTCATTGATAAAAGCACGAGCAGCAACGGACAAGTGTGCGAAAAAGAAGTGCAAATAATTACAAAAAACACAGCGATTAAAGTGGCTGATAGTTAAAGCCAAGATAACAGCTGCTAAGTGGCAAACAGGTAACAACAATAAAAACAAATAACAACAGAGCGAGAGAAGGAGAAATATCCAAGAAGAGTGTAACAACAAATCAAGAGAATAAAACCAAAAGTGACAAGAGTGATAAACAGCTGTGGTGTTAAAAAAGTATCTATAAAAGCACAACAAAAAAGTGAAAACATAAAACCAACATAAGCAGCAGAGAGAGCAACAGAGGTGAGAGCCAAACACACACAAGAAGATAAAACAGGCAGTGAGAGTAACAGCACTGATAGTGGGTGTATTAACAGCATTAAACAACAGCAAAGAACTATATTATTAACAGCTGTTGCCACAGATCAAAAAAAGTATATTTTCGGAGAGCAGCTGTGAGATTAACAGGCAGAGAGCAACAGGTTTCCCTTGCTTCCCCTGAACCGATCATGAACCACGATCAGCCGCTGCCGCAGTCGACTGCGCAGCCGGGAAATAAGTACGCGCCTGGAAGAAGGCTAGCTGCGAGACAAACGCTCCGATTGGCCATTCCCAAGCAACAGGGTGACCCACTGAGCAATCCCCACCCAGTTGGGGTATTCCGACCCTCACCATCCCAGCTGCCACCTGCGCCGATTCTCAAGAGAGTGCCCACAGGATGCATGAATTCCAGCATCAGTACCAGCAGTGGAATACCCAAGTCCGCATCTCCTCTGGAGTCCCATCATCTGCCCAATGCCACGCCTACCCGCTTGAGCTATGGTCTTCCAGCAGCGGGATCGGGTGGCAGTGGGTGTTCCAGTGCCGCCTCGGCCACTTCCAACTTCCTGGGTGTTCGCAAACCAAGCTTGACCTTGAACTCTTCGGATATTAGAAATAACAATGATCTGTTTGCCTTTCCCAAGGATATGTCGCCCGTTTTAAGTGGTGAGTAAAAAGAGTTTTGAATTTACATAATTTGAGGTACATTTTTTTTAATAATTGTAAATAAATTCAGTAAGAGTAGAATAATTTTCTTATTAAATTCGAATTTAAATTAAAAATTATATTAATTGATAAATAAAGTTACATGAATTACTTAACTTATTAGTGAATTTTAAAATAAATTATTATGGCGGCCAAAAGTATGCAACGGATGGGGTCTTCTCCTTTAGCCTTTGAAAATGAAGACCAAAAGGGATTCATTTTTGTCTTTTTGGTCTTCATTTGCAAAATCACTTTGATTTGATTGTATTTTATTTTAAATTAATAAAATTTACCTATAAACAATTGAATATCTATATAGAACTTTTTAAAATATATACTAAAATGTTATATCCGTGCAAAATAATTATATGTATTACTATGTAACAAGTTGTACTTTGTTGCCAAGAGGATTTTTAAACCTGTATTTATAATTTTTAAATAATTTTATTATTTATAAAATACCCTTTTCCTTAGAGCATTCCCACTCGCCAATGTTCACGGATATATCATCGGCGCACAGCAATGGATCTCCAACGCATTATCACCAACTGGGCAGATTGTTCAGCCTGAGTCCTTCGAGCATCAGAAGTTACGGAAATGTGAGTACTTTTCTTATAAATAAATATAAATAAATATATGTATATTTATATGGTAAAGAGTATTCCAAGCACGCCTATATGCTGACAGTTCAGACTTTATTCGGCCCTTCTGGCTTTATAAACTCACACTCGGAATAATTGCCGATGGCTATTTATAAATAAGCAGAGCGAGCAAAGGTCATGACTCACTTTGGAGCTATTCTCTTGCTTTATGGTGTCCATAAACTCTCACTCAAGCTTTTGCTGCCCCTCATTCTTGACTTTTCCCAGCCCGCGTTTTAGGCTCATTCTGATTATAGTTTTGCATACACGAAGAAAAAATGCTCCACTCTCCACTTAAGTTTGTAAAAATACCATAATAGTTGTATAATCCTGGAATTATTTATCAAGAAGATTTCTTTAAAATATATATGTTATATTTATTCTAGTTTAAAAATTTTAGAATCTAAAATACTATTTAGTAATTTCTTTGCTTTTCTGAGTGCACTCTACGCAAACCTTTTCGAGCTTTGCATTGCCATATTTAAGCAAATACATAACTCACACCTCACACGCGACTCTTTCTGGATTGGGGAACTGATGGGGGATTGGGTCTGGAACCACTCCCTGACTTGGCGACTTTCCTAAAACCGGCTCTGGGCAGATATAACTCTCTCCCTCTTTGTGGCTCTGCCTATCTCTCACTCACCTTACCTAAATAGGTAGAAAATAGCGTCAACTTAATTAATAAATAACATTTAGCACGTTTTCAAAAGGTAGACGCAGAGAAAGAGAGGAAAAACGAGTCCGCAGAGTATATAGCGCTATAACCACATTATTGGATGGATATACCGGGTATGAATAATCGGCATTTGGCGTTGATTTTTAGCATGGCTCGTGAGTCGTTAAGCAAATTTCTTGTTAGCGAAATGCTCTTCCCAAGGTATATTGATCATTTGAGTGGGTTTGTCTTTTAATATATTTTATTATGGTTTTATCTTTCTGAAAAGTGATGTAAAAAACATTTGTTTTAACTGTTCTTAAAGATTAGATGGGCCAACAACCTTTTCATTAATGAAAACTAACCGATGACCCATATATTGGAGGGCATTGTTCGAACCTTTGCTGATAAGATGACCAGCTGACTAACATACATATTTTTTGTATTTTTATTTATATTTTGATAATAATGATTTGATCTAAGGGGTATGATTTATGGCATTAACAGGAAAACTACAAAAAGAGGTTACTTTTGAATAGACTTTATTTAGGTTTAGTTTGTATTAAGTTCTCTTTATGTTTTTCTATTAGTTCTCTTAATCAAAATCAGAAAATAAATTTAAAATTATCTAGGAGGTTGCTTCAACAATCCCTAGGATTTTTTAACCTTTTAAAAATGGGTTGAAAAGTATATATAATGCAATTTTTAAGATACAAAATTCAGTTTTTTTTTTAAGATATACCTTTCTTTTGGAAATATTATCGACACCTTTTTAAAAGTTTTGATTTCCGTAGCGTCTATTTGTATTTTAACTTTAATAAGTTCCTCGATTTGTAGTCCCCAAGCAAATTGTGCCAGATACCCTATATCAAATATTTTTATTTCCAATTTGTATTCCCCCATCGATCTTGCAGGGTATTCCCATGGCCATGCCCCTGGCTGTAGATCAATTAATTTCTTTCTCCTCGGTGTTCTTAACTATTTGACAAGCTCTTCATCGCCAGGGCAACAACAGCAGAACGTGAGCTGAAGATTGTTGTTGAAATAATATGAAGTTGGCTGTGGTGACAGGGGGGCCCGAGCATATTAATTAGTGCCTGGGTTTGTCGGGGAATCTTCCCGGAGAGCCACAGAGAGTGTTGTGTGCTGTGTGGGCTCTCGCCAAGCGGCTCGAAAAAAAAATCGATTAGTACAAACAACCGACGAGGGGCGAATAGTGCCAGTTGAAATACAAACAGAGACGTCGGCTCGCGGCTTGTTCACATTATAAAGCTAAAGCTCCCAAAAGGCAGCAAACACACCGAAAAAACACACATAAAAATATACTGAGAGAGAGGACAGGGGTGTCTGAAAGCTACTTATAAACGGACGGACAACTGTGTTTTGGGTCTGGCATTCTGTGGTTTTCGGCAAGAATTCCGTATTCAGTATTTGCCGAATTGAGATGCGCAGCGGTTCGTCTCCGATTCCCAGTCCCACATCTCTCTCTCTTTCAATTCTCCCTTGAGAATCAGCAAACACATTTTCGAGATTTTATATCGTTAGAAGCCGCGTAGAGTTAATGTGATATCCGTATAGCATGGGCAATCGTTTGAGCGGCTTGTGGTGCAAGAAGACAACATTGAGTATTACCCACACCGATCCCCAGAAAGAAAGCGAGGATAGCAGGAGCATTAAGGCCCGAAGGAGTCGCAGGAAGTCGAGTGGCAGTGGTGATGGTAGAGGCACCTTTCGCATCGGCAGCGTGCGGCGATTATCCCTGACCAACTGCGTCTCCAGAGATAGTAATCCCAAGAAACCCATTTGCCCTGAGATCACCATCTCCACCGTAGAGAAGACCTACCAGGAGCTGACCAGCCAGACTGATCTCGATTCCAATATGAAAGTTAATGCACAGCTAATGCCCACTGTCAAGGTGAGTACTTCCACTCGAATTCCTTCCAAAAATCAGCAATTATGTCATTTGTTTTTGTTGCTTGTTGTTTGCATCGCTCGGATTTGAATAGCAATAGAAATAGATATGCTTGCCGAGGTAAAAAAAAAAGACAAACTTGAATTATTTTGATATGCTACCCAGTTCACGGCCAAATCAAAACAAATTGTATGAGTTTCGAGTTTGTTTTTCGGAAGGTGTCATTAGCATTAGCCTCTCAGGTGCGTTTGTGTTGTGTGTTTGTGTAAATGCGGATGCTTGTAAGGTGTCGCGATCGGGATTAGCCGCCGTAATTTATTACCAGCATCTAATTGAAATCGTAAACACATTTCTGGTAGACCTTTGTGAAGGGAGAACTGACTGACCAAGGGTTTCCATAATAACTCGTTAGATAACAGGTGAATAATGACGCAATTCAAGCATTTAATAGATATTCCCTCAGATAGTTATTCGAGCTTTTAGCGTTCAATAATTCGCTTAAAATAACTTGTTACTATCATGTAAAATACTAAAGCAACTTTTTGGACCTTTCAAGTAAGAGGTAAAAAGGTTAATTTCCTAATATATCCAAGTATCTTCAGTAGATAAATATATAATAATAAAATAATAATAAACTTAAGATAAAAGTCAATCTTAACTAAACATCTTTAAAGTACAAAATATCTTTAAAGTACAACAAAAAACCAAATATAATATCAGTTCATATATTAATCTGCCCTTAGAGTCTTGTTAATCTTAGTGAAAACCCCCAAATGTACCATAAATTACTTCAGTTCGAAAAGCAGAACCCCAAGAAATTCACTTGTGAATTCGATTTAAGGTCTGTATCAAGGAATTACATTATATTCCCTGGCCAGCACTCAAGTGACCCAATTCCGAGTCACAAATAAATCACAAAAATCAGGGGAACTGAGAGAGAAGGAAAAAAAAACGTGTTAAGCACGCTTTGCATATAAATAAATAAACAATCTCTGAAGGGAAGCAGGGGAGAAATGCATAAAAATCAATTCCAATTGAGAGAAAATAAAACGATAAGCCCGCGGACGATGATGAAGCGCATGCGTGGCTTTGGGCTTAAATCGGGAAGAAGGCGTGTCAACTCTTCTTTTTTTCTTACCTTTTCCTGTTTTTAAAGATATAGTAGGTAACGTGCTGGAAGTTACGTCTTAGATGCGGTTGCAAAGCTCCCACGATGGTGAGTCAGAGCTGAAAACTTCTTCGTCGCAATGCGATCGGTGCAAGTTGTTATTGGCGGAGATCCAATCACGGCTTTCGTGATGACTCACAGATGTTTTAGGCGAAAGCCTGAATGAATTGGATACATAGATACACCAGCTGAGATACAGATACAGAGACACGTAGTAAAGAAAATACAAATACAGTGAGCACTTGATGTAGTGAAGTAAATTGGAGGAATATGAATGAATAATGAAAATTTATAAAGCAAAATTAAGCTATGGTTATATAAGGATTCGCTGCAAGATGCTTTTATAATTCTCAATATGTTTTAGCATAGGTATAAACGTTATTCTTAAACTCTTGTTCCTCTTATATTTCTCTAATCAAAATAAAATGGAAAATATTTAAGAACTGTTGAATTGCTTTTCCGAAAAAACTATATTTAATCTTAAGTATCATTAAAGGAAGTTTAATATTATTTAATAATTAAAGCACATAGTTGTTCCTCTTCTCTAGCGACCCCTGTTAATTGCGAATAAACAAAAGTATCATTCCATTTTGGTTTGGTTTTTTGCTGAATGGGCAAATGACTCAGTTGAAGGACTTGGCACTTGACAAAGTTGTGATTAATTTAAACATTTTCTTTAAATATGATCAAAGGAAAGGGAAAAGTGTGCCATTTTAGTGACTAATCCGTTGATCCAAAAAGCGAAAGTATCTGAAGGATGCGTTGGATTGTCGTGGACAGATTGGTGGGAAAGATGATGGATGAATTAGCTCAGATGGATTGCATAACGACGAGTCGCAAGTGGCCTTGCTGCGAGTATCTGATGTTACCGCAGATACAACTTGTTCAGATTATCCAACAGATGCACAGATACCAGCTGTAGGTGGCGCGAACGAACTCTTTACATCGGTTCAAGGCATTTTTTTTTCATTCAATCGGATTTTGTTTGGCATTTCCTAAGCCGCCAAAATTTTGCTTATTTTCGCTCCACTTTGCCATTTCCTGGAAACGCCAAATGCGAACAAAAAGCATTCGATAAACAAATACCTACAAATCAATTAGATTGAAAGAAAGCCAGAAAATACACAAAAAAACGAGAAGCGGAAAAAAACATGTTAAAAGATTTTTAGCCATTTAAAACGCACGTGTCGGCCAATATCGAATCGATTTTCAAGATGATTTCTGTTTGCTTAGACCGAGTAAATAAAACAAAATAGTCGTACAAATAAATACAAATTGGTAAATATAAACAATGATGCGGCCGAGCAGCTCAATGCTAGGTGGGGAAATTATACCTAGATTTCCGCGAATAAATACCTCGCAAACCATTGCCAAAAATGCGAAAAGCGAAACATGTAAAATATATAAATAACAAGAAATCAAATTAAATGGTTTTTGCATCGGAGCACGAAACAAAATGCGCCAAAAACGTCAAGTAAAAACAACTTGTTTTAGGCAGACTCTGAAGAAGAGGATCACTAGGCTCTCTCTCGCACTCCGAATTCTCCGTCTCTCTCTCGGGGGATTTCTCCGTCTCTCTCTCTTATTTTTCGAGGCATCGAGTCAGAAAATAAAATTTCAGGCCTCAGTCTTGTGTCGAACACTCAAACGTCGAGTTCGTAGAGCGCTATCGAAGACAACGACAGATACAGATACAGATACAGCAACAAAAATAATCAAATTTACAAAAAAACCACAACGAATGCCTTAACAAAAAAATACAATAAATCTATTGTTTAAACGTATTATTGTGAAATAGCGAAAATGCCTAAGGATCGCTATAAATCCCTGTGAAAAAAGTGCGTAAGGCGAAAGCATAAAATATTTCCATTGAAATTTATTGAAAGCTATAAATAAATGAAGCAAATATATGCTTAAAAGTAAAATAATTCTTTTCGTCGTCACATGTGTGACGTTCGTGATACACAGAAAAGCATGTGGAAAGTGTCTGATAAAAAAATACGCCTAAAATTATAAATAAAGTTATGTACAATTGCATGTTCCTTTGAATTTTGAGCAACTTTCTCGAGGTCTTCCCAAGAAAACTACAGAAATTAGCACCCAATCAGCTCAAGTGACGCAAATTAGTGTGATAAATAAAAAACAAATTCGTGGAATATCGATACCAAAAATTAAATCGAAAATCTGACTTTTAAATAACCGAAAATAAAAACTAAACCGTATTTTTTACAACCCATAATTTCCATTAAAATGCAATACATTTAATAAACAAGAAATGAGTGCATGGCTCACAGAAAATTCAAGAATAAATTTCCATAAATTGCTTAAAAAAAACATACCAAGTGGGCTAATAAAACGAGTTAACAACAGAAAACCAGTTCGACGAATCTAGAAGCAAACAAAAACAAATGTTCGACCGCAAGCAGCTTGGAAAAACTGAAAACCACAAGTTGAAACTGTTGCGTAGGCTTTTCGTCGCCTTTGGCAGACAAGAAATCAATCAGACGGACGCCCACATGAGTGCAGTAATACCTCAATAACTAATACAAAAAAAATTTAAGTAAATAAAAGTGCAACAGGAAAGAGCAAAGAGCGGTTAACGCCTTTTTGTTGGGTTTAGCAGTTGCATTAGCCAAGCGGAAACTCATTAGCCAGTTACATGAAGACCCCGAACGGAAGTGGGGAAAACCACCTTACGTGGGTTTTTCAGCACTACATATTTGTGTGTGTGTGTCTCAGTGTTTTCTGGCTTTTAAAAGTGGGCTTTGAACTTGTCCCACGCCCCCATAGGTGTGAAAAACCAGACCAAAGTCGAATCCGAGTCAAGGTCTGGTCCAAAAGAAGCTGTAAATGTTATACGTGTTTGAAACTCGCATTTCATTTGCATCTTTGGCGGCTGCCACACAGATCTTGAAGTTTGGGTTGATGGAAAAATCTGGAATTTCTGTAATAAAGGGCGTGGAATTTCCAGAAAGGTTTCTGCTTTTTATAGAGCATTAAAAAGATCATAAAGAAAAGATATAAATGTAAAGGTTAATCTTCTAGATTTTGTTCTCTATTCTTAATAGATTCTTCTGTGTTTTGTTATAAATATTTTTAAAGAAATTATAAAATAGTTTGAAGAAAGCAGCTTTAGATACTTTAAAGCAGACATCTGTAGATGCCTCTCTCTCTTAACTTGACTATTTCAAAATTAACGAAATACTTTGCGAATAGCTTAGTATATATTTTTGCCTTGCTATGTAGGGAAATTCTCAGAAGTCCATGCCAATTCTAGCCGTAAAAGGAGGGCTTAATCAGAGGCGCTTATTGTGTATTATGTATCTTGCAGATACATTTGTCACCGGGGGCACCGCCAGGCACGGAAACCAGTTCTGTGGCATTTCTTGTGTAAGCCTTTCGCCCGCTTGGCCTGGCTCTTTGTGCGTGAATCTTTTTGTGGCTTTTGGCTTGCGCGTATCTTTCGGCTAACGGTTGCCAAAAAGGCAGACGAAATCGGAAAAAATACAAATAATACACAAAACCAGATGCTTGATAATTGTTTACGCGCCGCAACAATGCCGAAAGAACAAACACCTTCTGAATGCGATTATGCGCGGATAAATTACACAGTTTCATCTGCTGTATTTTGTGTTGTTAACCCGCTAGGAATGCTAATTGTTGAGCTTGTTAATAATTATATAAATGAAATATGTTTTTGTTTTTGGCTGCCTAGAATTCCTAGGAAAAATGCCAACGAACCCCCCAAGCACAGCAGCAGCAGCCCCATCATAAATAAAAGTAAACAAACGGAGTGTGCAGAGGGAAAAACCCCTTAAACAGTGATCGAGTGATT